TTTCATTTTGCAGAATTAAGACACAACAGTCAGTCTTGCTATATACAGACTTTTGTTCTAGTGTATCCGATTTTGATAATCAGTGTAATGGTTAAACCAGAACCATGACAAATTAATACTTTTAGAACGTCTCAAAAGTAATATTAAAATATTTACAATTTGTAAACATTTACATACATTAGAATTTTACTATTGTTACTCAAATTGAATATCAGTTATGTTGCATTTAATAAAGTGTAGAATTAAAATAATCCTGTAAGTTATAAAACAAAAAAATTGTCACATGCCTTTTCCCCACTCGTATTAATTTGATTTATCAGATAGTTAATAATATGATAAATGTAAAAAAAAAGACATTATCACATATAGTATGATACAATTAGTACCATAGAGTTTTTTGGGTTTTATAAGTACTTCGTAATTCTGTCTTAGAATTTTAGTCTTTGAAATAACGTTTTAAGTTATTAATAATTGTTAGTTTTAATGACAAATGTTTTTATATGTACTTTAAATAAAGATATTTACAGATTTTTCATAACCCTCTTCTACATTAAAAATGCAAAAAATAGTTTTGGTAAGATTTTGTACTTCACTTGATCCTAAAACTTAATTTTTGCTCAAAGATCTGAGCTAAGCAGAGAGTTAATTGTACTTTATGTATAGTAGTATATGTTTAGTATAGTATCTAGTTGCTATGGAAACAAGTCATCTTGTTATGGGCAACATATAGCACCTATATATATATATATATATTTGATTCATGGTGAATTTGTGAGCATTCAGTGTTCAATGCTGCCACAGGTACGCTTGTGGCTGGAGAAATGTTACACAGCTGTTGATAAGACTGTTAAACAGTCATACAACATTTTAAAGAAGGGAACCATATAAACAAAAAGACATCCACAGCAGGGTGTTTAGCACAGCAATGGCTTTTAAAACCATATCCCAAACCAATGCAGAACATCATCACCAAAGTAAAGTCTATTGTTATGAAAGAGGACCCTTTGACCCAAAAAAGGACACTGATGAAGCTGAACATATTTACTAATACTGTTATCAGTGTAATAAACAATGACTTGAAGTGTATATTGACTTGCAAATGAGAAGTCCACAAGATTCCAACCACACGTTGAAATCAGTGGCATTTTTCTTGAGAAAGATGACCAAAGAAACTGAAGTTGCAGCAATCCTATTTGGACATATATATTTGTCAAGTCCCCCCAAATCAGTACCATTGACATTTTATGCTTTTTGTTCTATCAAAGTTCATGTACAATTTGAAAGGGATCTGGAAAGTTTGTCAGGATGTGTGTGTGTGTGTAAGATTGACTTCGCTATCAGTTGCAAAAGCTATTTACTGTAGAAAATGTAGAGGAAACAGTGCATCAGAGTGAGATAAATTGATGAGGAAAGTAGTAATTCCAATGCTAGTATGGGACATGGAACATTGTTTTTCTAAAGTGTCATTAACCTTAGTATTGTGTCTAAAGAAAATAATAATAATACAATTACTTCCCAGTATTGTATTGTCTTTTTTCTTTATCTGGTATGATTCAATTCAATAGAATAATTATATTTTCCTTTACTTGCAAAATGATCATATAAATATATAAATTCATCCTCTCACATAAAATGTTATATAACCTTTTTGCTTAGTTACACAAGTGTCGTGTTTTTCTTATGAGGCATTCATATGTATGTAGGAAAATAAGAAGTTATGTTAATGATAGATATTTTCCATCAGGTCCATATGGCTGGTATAAATGAAATCTTAATGTTAACTGCTCATGATGTTCAGCAGACTTCCAAGGAGAATAAAAAGCAAGAAAACCAAGATACAAATCTGAAAGAAGTCTCTGAAAAAAATAAAAAAAGGTATTCTATCCCAATTTAACAACTTAAAGTGTTTGTTACTGCAACATTAATGCAGTAATGTCACCTATTCTATCCCAATTTAACAACTTAAAGTGTTTGTTACTGCAACAGGTGTTTGTTGAAAGCAAATTATATTTCTTAAATTAATATTTAGAAAGAATCTGGAAGTATATGTTGGTCTAATTTTGATTATTATTGATCATTTCTTAGACATTACCTTTGTTTTATGATCCCCAAAATCCCATAGTTTTTAAAATCAACAACAATCTAAATTGTATATATATTTGTTTAACAAAAATAGAAATAATAATTTTTTTTCTCGGTTATGTACTTCAATATTAATGACACATAGGTGAAATGTTAATAACTAATTAATTTGACAGCTTGTATATTTAGCTAAACATTGCTGTGCTTATGACTGTCTTTTTTTTACATATGTGCTTTTTGAAATTGTCAAAGACATGTATGTCGCTGCTTAGTAGTTTATTGCAAAGGTAAAATAAGATTTAAAATTAAGAAACATTTTGATTTTTCAACTATGTGTAAAAGTATAACTATAATGCATTGAGATTATTGTTTTTTTATCAGTCCCTTGCCAGCCCCAAGAAAGCAGGCAACTACATTTAAACCTGTGTTTGAGGTAAAAGCTGTGACAACAAAAAAAATAGAAGCTGCTCCTAAAAATGGATCAACCAAAAATATGAAACCTACAGAAAATGCTGTTGTGACCACTTCTGAAAATCCACAGTTGAAAAAGGATCCAACGAATGTAAGAGCTTCTGTAGATAGCAAGCAAGAATTGAAACCCAATCTTAAGACCTCATCATCATCCCAAGATAAGCACACCAAAATTACAGATTTTGAGATTAAAATGGAACAAGAGTTGACAAAACTAAAGGAAGAATGGAAAAAAAATTAGAAGCTGAAGAACTGAGACTCCGGTAAGTTAGGTAGTAGCACTAATATTTGTCACCTAAAGTCTGAGACTTCGGTCAGTTAGGTAGTAGCACTAATATTTGTCACCTAAAGTCTGAGACTCCAGTCAGTTAGGTAGTAGCACTAATATTTGTCACCTAAAGTCTGAGACTCCGGTAAGTTAAGTAGTAGCACTAATATTTGTCACCTAAAGTCTGAGACTCCGGTCAGTTAGGTAGTAGCACTAATATTTGTCACCTAAAGTCTGAGACACCGGTCAGTTAGGTAGTAGCACTAATATTTGTCACCTAAAGTTTTCAATAACAAATGATTATTTTGAATATGCATGACTAAAGATTACTAGACAGCAGTAAAAGGTCCATCCTAATAATTTATGTCTTAGTTAATGAGAAAACATACCACTTGTCCGTGACACAGTGTTCCTTGAATTGACTATGCATTGTTTTAAGGCTCTTCTATGGTATTATTAAACACTGTCTAACAGTGAATTGGACTAAAAAGAAAGACAAACTTGTTTCCACAACCATTCACAATTAGCACTTTCTAAATATTCTCATTGTGACTTGGTTTTACGTCTTTTATATATGATCTTTATATGAGATGGAATTGCTTGAAATTTGACATCCAGTAAAATGGAAAATCCTTGATATTGATCTACTAATACCATGAATATAATGTGAATATACTACTTTTTATGAGACATTTCAAGTTTGAAGAGGTCATTATGAAGGTTCTGGAGCCAATAAACCATCATAAGTAGTTTTATGTTTTGTTGTTTTACATTGTAAATCGGTGAATACATTAATTAAACAAGATGATATTTAAACATAAAAATATTTTATATTATATGTAAAATCTAAGATCTCTGAAAAAGATAGTTTTATTTATGGAAAGTTAGGGAAACATGGTAGAAGTGTAAAGTGCAGAAACCTTCTCGTCGTACACATTAATGAAATGTTTCCATAAAATTTGTGTAGACGATACAGTTAGAACTTAGTTTGATAGTTTAATGTTGATTATTGTAATGGGTTTTACAAAAAATAACTTAGTTTAACCCTTTTTTTCTAGTAAATATAACAATACTTAGTTTGGTGTCTAAATTGTAATTCACAGTCTATGCATTTATTTGGTGTAAAAAAGTCTGTTGTATTCTTTAAAAATAAATCCTTTGTGACTTTATATTTCTAATTTTATTAAGAATTCGTGGAGTTTTCTGTTTGATTTTTCCCGTAAACTGTGCAGTATGTGCAGGGATACGGCAAAATGAAAGCCGTAACTGTGTCAAAGTTAATTAAATATAATAATAATTTTGATTTAACAGAAAACAAAGCTGGAGTTACCTTTGTTCATTAAATGTTCTGTGGCAGTAACTTGTTGAAACTAATTCTCAGTGTTTGCAAAGTTAATTAAATATAATAATAATTTTGATTTAACAGAAAACAAAGCTGGAGTTACCTTTGTTCGTTAAATGTTCTGTGGCAGTAACTTGTTGAAACAAATTCTCTGTGTTTGATGGATTTCTTTGTATTTTATGTATTCTAAATGTTTTATATGGCTGTCTGTGACCACTCTTTCAGTTTTGATGGGAAAATGTTTCTACAGTTTCTTGGCGTGTACAAACTTTTCTACTCATTTATGTGTTATAACTAACATTTTAAATTATTTTTTTATTTATTTATAGAGATGTAGTATTTGTTAGTAGCTTTGTATGCAATGTTCCAATTTTTAATTTGTTTCAAACTCCCATGTCTTTGTCTGACCAGTGTTTTTAATTATATGTTTTTAATAATTTCAAGAGATAACACCTCAACCAATACGACTGCTTGAGATAACACCTCAACCAATACGACTGCTTGAGATAATACCTCAATCAATATGAAATTGAAGGCAATTATTTTGGTTAATAAAATCAAATGTTTGAGTATGAATTATGATTATGATCAGTATCCCTTTTAGGGGTTTACATAAGAAGTACTTTTTACTCAAAGAAAGCCTTGTGTTATTGGATATTCTCAGTTTTCCTGAGTAAATTACAAACATTTATTCTTGTTCAAAGCTAAGACTGAAAATAATAATATACCTTTACAGCTTCATGAACTATTAATATATTGCCAGTTTGGATTTTCACAAGCCTCTAACTGAAATGGCCTACATATAATATAAAAATTATCCAATTTATAAAATGACAACACAAGTGTAAAACATATAGGCTATTAATCTCATCATAATCGATAAAACATTTTTTCCAAACAAATGTTTTGTTAACTTCTTCCAAATAAAATTTCAATATTTTGATCCATTACCTAAAAATCAAGTGTATAGATATACAAACAGTCTATTTAGAATAGTGCTTTAAAGAAATTGCAACAGTTTACTATACATAGTTTTACAATCATTTAACCAGACAAGAAAAAGAGAAGGAGATTGAAGACTTGAAAACACATTTACTGTTAGAAAAGAAAACCATGAAAGAGAAGCTGGAAGCAGAGCTAACTCAAATAAAACATGAAAATAACAAGACGTTGGAACAAGAACGGCAAAAGGCTGACACTGAACTGAAAGCAGAAATGGATCAGCTTTCAAAAGAATTGAAAATTAAACACCAACAGGTTTGTGTTGATATTAGGATTTACACAAGTAATTCTTTATTCCCAGATGTAATGGCATAGAAGATTTGGCATACACAGTAACCATAGTTGCCCTACTGAAAAAAACCAGATTTTGTAAACATACATAATTATTCATGTCTTGTAGCAGATAATTCCAATACGGTCTTACCACTCTCCAAACAAAACTATGTCAATCTTCTTTATGCCATCTAAACATTGCTCAAAACTTTTCATGCTCAGCGCACTGGTTTATATAACCCCCCCCCCTCCCAATTTTGTGTCACTATTGAACATGTACATAGAATATGACTGCTCTCTACCAGTAGTATTGCACTATCTATATTGGCATAGCACTCAATCCTCACTCTCTCAATTGGCACAAAATTGCTCAGACATGTGTTTTTTTCACATGTGGCTCCTGATTATGAATGTGCTTCTTTGCCATTTCAATTATTATTTTTTTCAACAGTTTCATTTTACTGTGTTTGCTTTCAATTGTTTCAACAATATATTTTTTTGCATTTTTTTCTTGTTACTGAATTATAAGAGATCTCGGTATGAATTTGCGATTCAATGTGTCGACTATGGAAATTCATGTCACAGTCAAAAATGCTACGGGTACAACTTCCCAGGAATTTAGTTTGACTTTATCTGCAGACGAGGTACAGGCCTTAGTTTGCGGGGAGCTAGATTCATATGTTCAGTTGGCAATTTCTTCTTTTCAACTTGACAATGTTTCTGAAGATGAATACAATCATGGAGAAGATTATTTTGACTCTGTTTTTCTGGCACCTGTCACACTCTACACCTATTCAGGAGTTTTCCCCTTCCATTTTGTTTTACAGCCTGTTGATCGGGTCATCGGTTTACACATATTCTGATTTTGATGCATGTTCAAGATGTGGTTGATTTCACTAGTTTTCTTTTTCCTGCTCCTGTTGCTGTGCCACCACATCATTCACTTTGCTGGAAATCTGTTCAAACCTGTGCTATTTACTGATTGTGCTGTAATGCTCACTGTAGAGATGGGGTGTTCCGCAAAACCACCAGTGACATACCCAGTGATATATATATATATGTTTCTAGATATCAGTAAGTTTCACTCAATGGTGGACCATCATTGATGGACTTCATGAGTAAAGCAGAAGGGGATTTCTGCCCATCACAGCCAACCTCTTGATTGAATATATTGGGGTTGTTTGCTTTTCAAAATAGGGACACCCATTGCACTTTCTTTGGTGTGACATTCCTCCAGACTTCCCAATGCATTTACTTCCAGTAGAGCAAGGGAGTCCTTACCACTTCCAAGTCACTGTGATGGTGGACCATGGAGGCTTCCTCCTGAGTGCTTTGTTGAATTTTAATTTACCATACATACTCATGATTTTCCACTCAGTGAGAAAAGGGCAAGGCTGGTTTCCCTCCATCCATTTCTCTTAGATGCTTTTTACTAGAATCCTCCTTATAATACTGGGTTCAGGATGACACCAACCTGTTCCTGTGGTTGTGTGCAGTAGAGGCCTCTCTTCTCATTAATTCTGCTTGTAGGAGGTTCTTTCCCTGTTCCTATGGTTGAGTTTGGGAGACTTCATCTGCCTCGTAATACCAGCAAAGGGACTTACATACACTGTTCCTACAGTTGAGGAAATGTTCCATGTCTTCCTTGTAATTCTGGGTGCAAGATGTCTCTTCCCTGCATTAAAAGTTGGGTGAATTATGATTTCTGCTTGATACACCAGTTACAGATATTGCCCTGTTCTTATAGTTGAGTTGAGGCAACACCACAACCCCATAATGACTAGTTTGGGTTATTTACTTCCTATGGTGGTTTTGATAGTTTGTCCAGTTTTGACTGGCTGCTAACTGCCTCTTCATAATTCTGGTTGCTTGACATATGACACACTGTTTGCTTACGGTTGGGGTAGTTGAATATATGTAACATGGTTCACATGCCCTAGCCACTATGTTTATGTTACATTATTTTATTATTTTCATCTGTTTGGATCCTCAACCTCCCAATGCCAAGTACAAGTTATGGAACTTCGTCTGTCAGGTATAGGTTGGATATCTACATAGTTCATTCAATTAATATTTTACTATGGATTGCACCTCTACAAACAAATAGTACTTGTGTACATGCTTTTTTACCACCTGTATCAGATTCATTTACTGCTTTAAGGGTGAAGAGCATACCTGTTCCAGATGTAGTACAGTACCTCACTTGTGTGCCCTCAATTTCATCTCAGAGTACACCCATTCATTCTGGGTGGTCACTTTCTGCTTAGTTTCAATGTTGAGTGCCTACACCGGCCCCTCCACCTTTGCAATGTGGGATTCTAGCTTTGTGAGAGTGAGGTAAGACCGTATCACAAGTTACCATATTCCAATAGGTACTTAACGTTCTCTCACAATCTTCCCACTTTCCTTCCCCACTGCTGGTGTTCTTCCTTTAGACCCTGCCAATTCTTGAAAATGAGTATTAAGTGGGAATAGCAGAGGGAGCTAGCTGTGCCAATATAGGTGGCGAACTACTATTGGTGGAGAGTAGTCACATGCTATGTAAATGTTCAATAGTGCCACAAAATTGATGGGGCAAAAAAAGACTGGTGCACAGAGCTTGAAAATTTTTCGGCAGTGCTTAGAGGGTGAAAAGAAGATCAAGATAGTTTTGTGTGAGAGGAAATACATTTTCAGCGTAAGAAAATGTTACCCTCAATATTTTAAAAATGCATAACAGTACATTAAAGTTAGCTTGATAGTTAGTTATTCTGTACAAAATCTGAAACTTTCACCAATTGTTCTAATCAGTAGCAGAATTTTCAAGAGCTCTGGTAAAACAAGATAATCCTGTAATTGCCGATGGGTTCCATATGAACCTTCTTGGATTTTTAGACATTTTCCCTAACTATTTATACACCATATTGTTTGTGGTACAACTATTTTGTTGTCCTAAGTAATGTATAAAGCACATAAAATGCCACCAGTATTGTAACTAATCCCACTAATTGCTGCTAAGGTTTTGGTTTCCTCCAATTTTATTTTAATATATATTTTGGTCAGTTCTTTTCACATTAGTGCTGTGATAGACAAAGTGGCTGTTTGTCCCACAGCCTCATATTGGAAATTGGGGACTTGTCTTGGTCTCCTAATTGGAAATTGGGGACTTGTCCTGGTTTCTTAATTGGAAATTGGGGACTTGTCTTGGTCTCCTTATTGGAAATTGGGGACTTGTCCTGGTCTCCTAATTGGAAATTGGGGAATTGTCTTGGTCTCCTTATTGGAAATTGGGGACTTGTCCTGGTTTCTTAATTGGAAATTGGGGACTTGTTCTGGTCTCCTAATTGGAAATTGGGGACTTGTTCTGGTCTCTTACCTATGATATAGAATTCCATGTTGTATAGTAATTCTTAATAGTACCTATGTATGTATGTATGTGTTTGTACTTGGTTTTTCATTCCTTTTATTATTCTTGACAAAAATTAGAATTTTATGTCGGGCTCTTGACATCCATAGAATATTAACAAAGAAACAAATGTTTGAAAAAGTTTCGGGGTAAGAACAACAGTGAAGGAGGGTTTGGGGTATTTAGTTTGAAACTTGTTTTAGTATATAAGGAATATTAAAAAAATAATTTAGGATTCAGATTTTTTTCAATTTAAACACCCTGTATAGGGATCAAAATTGGGGGGGGGGGGGCTCTCAGGACTGGATCCGTGGCCTTGAAGGAAAGTGGACATTCTGAAAAGTATCTACATTTATATTTTTATTTTGAGGTCTCCACATAAAGGTTGAAATGGGATTTAGGGCTCTAAAGTTTGTGTACACTGATGTACATGACAATTCATGTGGATATATAAGGGATTATTCAAACTAATATTGTATTGCTGCCCCCTGAGGATTTATTTGAAAACTGACGAAATCATCAAAAGGTCAGGATTATTCAAACTAATATTGCTGCCCCCTGAGGATTTATTTGAAAACTGATAGAATCATCAAAAGGTCATTCAGAACAAATGTGCAAGGCATTTTGTGTAGTTTTGTTTTTCATAAACTTTTCACGAGCTGTTCACTAGTAATTATTTTGACTGTTGAAATAATTTTACTAAACATACGTTTTTAGTTGTTATTCATATAAATACATAGAACATTTTAAAATGACAATTTATTACTGATTTTACAGGAACTTGATAGCTTGAAACATAGAAGTGAAGAACAACACAAAAAGGTTGGTATTATATAGAGTTACCCAAAAAAGTAATGGGAATTTGACACATTAGAAATGTAATTATTTTTTTCATTCAGTACAGGAATGGTGGCAATTATCATGGTGAAATAAATTTATAAACTCCTCTAATTCATTCTGTTATGTGAATAGAGTTTGTCGTCATTAAATACATTTCATCTATACGTGTTTTAAAGACTTCTTAATTTTGTAATTTAACATTTATTATTTAAACTTTTGGTATCAAGTGAAAGAACTTTTTTAGTACAGTAGTAACATGAAACCTGATTTGGTGTTAAGTGTTATGCAGATCATTTTATGTGGTTGTCAGTAAGGTGTGAGATCTATAATGGTTGTGAAATTTAAAGACGTTTGTGTGAATCTGGCATTTGAGATCATTCAGTCAGATGTTTTTTAATTTGAAACTAAAAAAAAAAATTATTTTAAATACTAAGCACTGTATTTTTAATAAAATGTTATTACATGTAATCTAGTACTATTTTTATCATGAAAGATACTTGATACTGATTACTTTAAATTATGATAACTCTTACACGTAGAATGTGTAATGTAAGTGAGAAACTTAAATATATTTATATTATGATAATAGGTTTGTTTATTCATTTTTCTATAGATTTCTAACTGAGTATTAAATTTTCTAGCAAAGTAGATATTTTGGCTGTCGTAAGAGTAATTTCGGAATAGGGCGAAGATAGTTGATGCGGGAATCATTGTAATTTATTTCAAATATTGTGCTAAAAAATATGTGATGTGTGAATTATGATTTTTCCCTGCTTAGATTTGATACCTTCAATATTACAGCTTTCAATTAGAAACACAAACTATACATAATTACAGGGAAGAATATAAAATGTGAACTTGCTGCCTTCTCGATTTGCTGAAATATTGAGAAGTGTGTTAAACCCACTAGAGAAGCCTCTCCAGTTGTATAATCATGTGTACTTGGCTAATGGACATGTGTTAACCATTAGAAACAGCACATTCTCCTCTACGTAGACAGTTAGTCTTACATTATTTGTCTGTGATTCTTGTTGGTCAACATTTGTTATAGCAATTGATATTTTACTGTTACAAGAGAGTAATGAAAATTTCTGGATAAAAAAATAGTTATTTTTTGAATGATTTAAAGTGGTTTTTGATACATGGTGTTTAAGTTCATGAGTTTTCATTGTTTTCTGTAGACTTTAACTGCTCTTGAGGGAGAACTGAAAGAAAAGTTCAAGACAACACAAAAACAGAAAGAAGAGGAATTACGTAGATCACTACAAAATCAGGAAGATATTACAAAAATAGAGGTTTCTATAGAAATTTCCATAAAAAACTTTAATAATGATGTATTCATATCCAGTTTAACTCATTCTGTATAATGAAAAGTGTGTTTTATCCATTTGTTATAAAATAACAAATGTAATGATTTACTACATTAAACTCCACTATTTAATTTAAGTATAAAGTATTTTTGGTGAAGTAGGTTTTTAATCTTCATAACTTTATATGAGTTTCTCGTCGTCCTCATACTTGCATTAACGGCATAAACATTTGATTGTATATAATCTAGATAGAAAAGCAACTAGAGCAGATCAGAATATCCCTTGAACAAAAGTATCAGAGTGATGTTGCAGAGATAGAGAAAGATCAACAAAAAAGCATAAATGAATTGAAAAAAAGAAATCAGGCAACAGCTGAAAGCATTAGAAAAAAACATGAAGAAAACATGGCTTCACTAAAAGAAAAAAATGAGAAAGAGGTTGAGGAGCAGACTTTTCAGAAATTAAAAACATTAATTACAAACTGGAAAAAATTCTCAGGTCAGTGGTTTGTTCCTAAGTCTTCCAAACTTTACATCAGATTCCTTTCTTCAGAAGCTCCATTTAGTCATATTCCCATGAAATCATAAATATCATTTAATTTAATTTAATCACACCATTTAATTTGATCTACATTGATGTAAATAGTTTATAATTTCTGCTACCCAATGGTGTTTAAACATTGCCTCTAGCTACTTCCAAACTGTTTCAGGATTGTCAGAAAATTAACAAAAAAAAGTAGGTGCATTGTGCAAAGTGAAAATTTGAACATTATCAATATTTTTTTTGCAAATTACTCTACGTGAATGTTAGAAAATGACAGCATTAATTCTGAAATATTTCTGGATGAAAACAGTTGAAAAAGAATCAGAATTATTGTTATTTTTTATCTACATTTAGAACTTTTATATACAGGTGTACACTCAACAGCCGGTAAATGATCCGTGACCCAGCGAGAGAATTAAATAAGCAAAATGTATTAACTACACTTGTTATTCACACTCATCAACTATTATATAAACACATTGTAAGACACTAACCTTTGTTGTAAAACTTTGTCTCATCTCAGCAACGTTTTCTTGGTATTTCTGTTTTAAATCTTCAACCTCTATCTCATTTTGTTTTTTCAATATGGCCACATCTTCTTCGTGTTTCTTTCTTATCTCTTCAGTTTCATTTTGATTTTGTTTTTTCAAATCAATAAATAACATTTGATATTTTCTTTTAAATTCATGTGAATTCTATCTATTTGAAAGCTATGGATATGTTCCTCTATAAAAGGCTATCAAGTAAGCTAAGTTAGGTTTAGCAAGTATGGTAGGCAAAACAAAATATTCCCATGATTCAAATTCTTATTCATTGAAAATAAAATATATTATTATATATCGTATTTATTATATATAACTTGATCTCAGTCGAGAATATTATGATCAAAAATATTATTACGTGCTAGCCCATTGTATAGGTTTGTGCCAACAACTAATGACAATGATATATTATCAATTGAACAAAAGTTTTACATAACAAAAGATATATATAAAAAAAATTTTTGAAGTATTACGAGCTGAATTTTACACACTGTACAGCATTTCTCTCATTCGTTATTCCACTTAGAGATGACCATTTCTTGATGCTGATAAAGGGCTTGTTAATACAAACTGAAACATTTTCTCTACACACACACACTAAGACAGGAAAAGGTCATAATCACAGTCCACAGACATTGTCCTGAACTCTCTTTAAGAAAACTAAATAATGTTTCTACTGGCACTTGTGTTTAAAATTGTTTAAATTATAATTAAAACTAAATAATGTTATTTCAGTGCAAGTGTCTTGCTGTTTGTTCTTGTTTAATATCTCCAGTACTGTTGTTTTTCATTCTCAGAATTTTTTTTTTTCCCCCTCAAACAAAAGTATTCGTCGTTTCAAGGAAAACCTAACTATCGGTTTAAATGAAACAATTGTTTTAGTCTGGCTTATCTTGAGGATAAATGTTTACATGGAATGTTTTTTTATGTGATCATTTTGTGATTGAGAGCGTAGATTACTCATTTTTTAATTATACATATTTAGCTTTTTTTTACACAGTTTGTTGATCTCTAAACTGGTAATAAAAAGACTTCTAATTTTCACTGAGATATGAATTTGGTTTTCTGATAATCATTTCCTAAACAATAATATGTTTCCATTTTAAGTTGTTTTTTGAATATCATGCTGTATATTCACCACCTTTGTACTATAAATGGTTAGTCTATTAGCTTAATATGTGTGTTTGATTTAACTTTTACAACACTTTAACAACAACATGATTTCATTTTTCAGCAGGAACAAACAGACATTATGTTTAAAGGAGTGTCGGATCTGACAAAAGAATTGGATGTGCTCGAAAAAGAAATTGAGGGAAAGAAGAAAATCCTGGAAACCTTGGAAAATGACAAACTATCACTTGATAAGTACAAGAAAGAAAAAGAAGCATTGTTAGGACATCTTTCGACCCTCCGTGAACAAATTCGACAAGAACAAACAGCCCTGGATAAACTATTGTATGATAAAATATCTCTACAGAATGAAATATCTGAACTCAAGAGAAAAGCACAGAAAGTAGCTTCAGAAGTGAGCCAGAAAGAAAAGCACATCGATAGTGTAGATATTGGGTTTTCTTCTGATACGGAAAACAAAGTAGAAGTTACTGCGAAAAACGGGGCTAAATCAGGACTAAAAATGGATGTGAAAACTGACGTTCTGTTATCAAATGGATTAGTAGAAGCTACCAGACCTGAAACTGCCTTTGATGTAGAAAAGTTATACAAAAGATTAGCAAAATTTGAATATAAAATAAAGTAATTGAGACATCTTTAATTTACTTTTCAATTGTGATAATCTGTAGGATATGTTACTTTAAGTAAAGTACTTTAAAACAAGCTATTTTTTTAGCTTCTTTTTAAAATTATGTAGAAATTTTTATAAATGCGTATCTTAGATGTTTCTGAAACTGATGAATTGTGATAATCTGTAGGATATGTTACTTTAAGTAAAGTACTTTAAAACAAGCTATTTTTTAGCTTCTTTTTAAAATTATGTAGAAATTTTTATAAATGCGTACCTTAGATGTTTCTGAAACTGATGAATTGTGATGATGAAATAAGAAAAAAAGTTGCAGATACATGTTTTAACAGTGCTCTTACCTTACAAGAAACATAGAGTTTTTGAGTTATGTTAAAGTTTTAGCAGTTTTTTTCCCAAGCCTTAAAAACCTGAATAAGTATATATTTACAGTTTTCAAAATCTATAGCTCATTTTCATTCATCTGCTTATAATCTTTTTTGAAAGAATTTGCTAGTGTAGTGCTAATATTCTGAATTAACATGAACTTTCAAATAATGTTTTTCCCCTTTACATGTTGTATTAGATTATATTTTGATTTTGTATGCAATAGCTTGTTTTTAATAGTCTCTTTGCTGTACTTTTATAATGTAGAAGGTTAGAAAAAAGATTGATAATGGTCAAGCCAGGATCAGAGACTAGCAGCTCGGAAGTATTTCAGCCAGATGGCACGGTACAGCATAGTAAGGGCCCAGAAAATGTTGAGCAAACATGTCATCAAAAAGGTGTGAAAAGCCTTATGTACTTGCATTTAATGTAAAGTGTAGTCGTTTAGTGTAACTCAAGCAAAATATGAGTATATAGTATGTATATGAAATGTTTTACTGGGTGCTGAATTCCAGGTTTTTTTCACAAACTTTCATATAATAAGGGGTGTAACAATTCACTAGCCTACTGCCTGGGACTGTCTTACATACTAGCTCAGTGTTAGTGGAGTTTTGTATCCATGAAGTGTGTACATGTGTATAAAATCCAACCCTATTTTTAATTATTAAAATTTACAAAGTGTTTAAATATTTATCGTCATTGAAATTTTGTGCCCTCATACAGTGTAAGATGGTGTTAGCTAAATTCTAAACAAAAGTTGAATATATATATATATATATCAAATGTTTTTGGTTGCGTGCCTGATTTTGTATTTTACTAAAATAATATAATATGCATATGAGTTTAATAAGAATGTAATTATCATATCTTTAAGTAAACACTGTAAAGTTCTTTCTTGTGACAGAGGTTGTAGTTAAACATTTATTGAAAGATTTCTGTATACACAAAAATAAAATATTCATTGCCTACTTGACATACAAGATGCAATAATGTGAATAATTTGTATTACTTAAAATAATTTTTGAAGACTTCAGTTTACACTGAGATAAAAGTCACAATTTTAATGGCTTGAAACTTTTTATTTCATTGATTCTTCACTTGTAATGAATATTTTGTCTTTATTTTTGAACATATAAATACTGTAATGTCAATAACCAAAACTTTATAATTCACATGTGGCTTTTATGGACAAAACTATATCAAAATAAGACAGCCAAGTTTTAGAAACTGGTGAGCCAAAAAAAAACACTTGTATTGTTAAGTAATTGTATTAGTTAAGCTGGTTTTCATCACTAACTTCAATGCATTGCCTTTGCTTAGTTTTAATTACTAGTCATCCAGACAAATCAACACTGAAGAAATCCAAATTTAGAAGGAAAGAAGGTCCAGAAAACCTAATCGCTCAAGATTCAGAGAGTGACTCAAGTGAAGAATTGGAAGATTTAAGACTCTATAAAGTGTAAGAACATTTCTCTTTAAAACCACCAATTAAAGTAGATTTACTGTTATACAAATTATCATCCAGTATTGAACTAATTGTGCTGTAACAACTCATGTGAAGGTATAGCAAAGTACTTACTGTTATACAAATTATCATCCAGTATTGAACTAATTGTGCTGTAACAACTCATGTGAAGGTATAGCAAAGTACTTACTGTTATACAAATTATCATCCAGTATTGAACTAATTGTGCTGTAACAACTCATGTGAAGGTATAGCAAAGTACAAAAATACAATTCTGAATAGGTTCTTCAATTCTTTTAAATTCAGTCAATGAAATTTATATTCTGTAAAGACCAAAGTTGTTAAATCAAAATAGTTTACCAAATATGCCTGGAATGGCCTAGTGATTAGGATGCTTGACTCACAACCTGCAGGTTGTGGGTTCTGATCCAATCACCAAACATGCTCACCCCTCTCAACTATGGGGATATCGTTATGTAATGGTAAATCCAACTATTTTACTAGAGTGGATTGTGTTGACAAGCTGCCTTCCCTCTAGTGTATCACTTCTAAACTAGGGATCGGCTAGCTCAGATAGAGCTCTTGAAATTTAACAGAATAAACAAACACTATTGTGAGGTTGTTTCCAGTTTTGTTTACTTCTGTTCAGTGGATGGCCTGTAAAGTTTACCCAAGCGTGGTACATTCTGGTATCTGGATCACTCATGTTCAGTTATTGTTGCATATATTGTTATTGAGTTTGGTCCTGCTTTGTTTTACAGACCTCTCAGTAGCTCTACTTTTACTACTTTTTTTTGGAAGTGGGGGGGATTTCTATAATTTTTAAGAAATTGTATGTTATCTCTTCTTCTTTAGAGACAAGATTATTGTCACATGTATTCTACAGCCTGAAAGTTTATTTTGATCTCTGGGAAACCTTAGAGAAGTGAAGAAAGATTATGCCAAAATTATTTGATTGATGACATCATCCTAAGTAGAAAAGACTGAAGATATATAATGATGTCATGTTATGAGGTTCATTTATCAGAGAGAAATATTTCATGCTT